TTTGTTTGAATTTGCATTTATATAGGGCTGAAAACTTTCTGGTCCTTGAGGGAAAGTTTATTTAAGTTAAGTTATTTTTTTTCTTTTCATCACGTTTGTATTTGTTGTTGACATTTAACATACACACATAATTGTGCTGCAATATAAGCCTACATTTACATAATTGCATTACCAAAAAAAATTATAGACATAGGATGAATTAAAAATGTGTTATGACGAACATATATAAAACTAAAACAAGCACTGTATACATAGGCCCACACATACACAGTGTTTAATATATGATTAACGGTTTAAACAATTTACATAGATAGGAAAACTCCAGGATGGCAACATACATTTTAAGGGTAAAATCAAGACATTTCATCAAAGTAAATCACAAATTTGTTTAGACTGGGGCTCATTTTATAGAGTGTTGGGTTTTATTATTTCGTACCAATGAATATTTTATTTTATTTTTTTATGTTAACTTGAGTATTTTATGATGTATTAGTAACAGAATTCCATTCAATAACATGCACTCCATAAATTTAGTAAAAAGACTAAATGCTAGAATGGTCTTTTAAACACGATTAAATTAATGTTTTGTTTGTGAAATATTACCTACTCAAAAAGATGGCAAAACTGTGTTTTGTATTTCTTTTTATTCCCAGCTAACATTTGCAATAACGTTTAAAACAATGCGGTCAGTTATACAAAAAATAGGTCACAGGTTAGGCTTCATCTTGTTTAAGCGTTTTAGTCGATGGTAAACCCCTGTTCGTTTACTTTACAACAATAGGTATTGTAAAACCAAAAAGCATTTGTGCGATTCATTTTCATTACTTTTCCATGAAAACAGTTTGCAACAACAATGACTGTAATAAACTAAATAATGTGTTTATACAATTATTATTTTATATTCAAATAATAAATAATTTAAACAAAATGTTTTAAAAGCAATTTAAAATAGTTTGCAATAAATTTCTCTTTACACTATTATCAAAATAACAAGGTTAGTGATTTATGAAAACACTAGGTCAGAAGCTAAATTTAAATTTAACAAAGCAATTTTTATTCTAAAACCAGTTACTGTACATAATAAATATAGAAATGAAATGTTTAGTTTGCATTATTGTATTTAAAGTCAAACAAACTCGCTAGTTCAACATGGACAAAATATATTCACTAATGGCTCAATAGTTACTTCGATATTTAAACAAACCATGTTGAAAATCAAACCTGATCTGTACGCTTGTTAGCAAACATGCCTCGTAGTAATCCGTAGTTAGCAATATCCGTCCAGCCAATTAAAAATACCCGTTAACGAACCAGGGTTAGTTATCACTAGTTACCTCCAGTTAACAATGAATGGACATATCCATTGTTGTTTTTGTAATAACAGGGCAACTAAAAATGTTATTATAACTCTATTGGGAGAAATGGGCCCTAATGTATTTTGGCCCAAATATGAGCGGGAGAGGTGTGGGATGTCTTGTGGTTTGTTTCTGAATATAAGCTTTTTTTCATCGAGGTCTTTTGTGAGTCCAATTTTAACTCCAAAAAAATAACGAATTTCACCAGGATCGAACTGGGGACCATCAAGAGTAGTGAGCACAATATCTACTCACCATCAAGCTACCTATATAACCGGATAACTAAGTAGAACACCGTTTTATCAACGAATAGTATTTTTGTTAGACATGATTTGTCATATGTTTAGCAAATGTTTCAGTTAATCAAATATTGTGTTTTAAGACATTTTTTTTATTAAATTTGCGAAATTTAATATATTGCGGAAAAATGTTCCACATTTCGCATACATTTAGGTACACGCATTAATGTATATCTGTTTTTGTTCTCCAATACGTCTTTTAGGTAGGGATGATTCCTCAACAGGAGAAAATGAGTAACCAACTATTCATTCTTAATTTGTTTTTTTGTATTCTATGTAATATAAATTATTTGTCAATTGTTGTTTTTTTGTATTAATGAATTAATAAAGATATTTTTAAATTTATTTAGAATTGAATTGAATTTGTGAAAAAAGAAACATTTTGGTCGTAGTGACGCCTAGTAGAAGTTTAACTAACTTTTAAAAAGAAACTGGGCTTGGCGTGATGTCATTAATTTATTTAGTCGTAATTATTAATTTATATACAAAAACGTTTGCATTCCATTAAATACACGCAGACACTATTGGAATTGTCACTGTGATTTTGACACTGGGATTAATAGGTATCACAGATAATTCAAATAAATACAGTACTTTGGAAACAAAAAATTTAAATTCCATGCTTTTTCGTTTGTTACACTACCACACACTCAAACTTTGTATACTTATATCATACTAAACTTATACCGGTACTAAAGCTACGAGAATTTTAACTCCTTATAAGTTCAACAATGAAAGATGGACAATTCTTACGTAAATATTCGCTTGGAACTTAATGTTTCACAATATATATTTGTTGTTTATCAAACTGATAAATTTAGATCAGCCTGTTCTATATCTTCTCTAAGGATTACCGTACATCCTATTCGAACAAACACAATATATATAACGTAATGTCCTTGGATTTCTCAATGGTTTATTTAAATCCCTCAAATACTGATTGACAAATCATCTTACATTACACAATGGGGCTTTGGACCACCCGAACTTCTTCGAGGACCATTTATAAAACAACAATGGAATTCAAACAGAGTGCACAGATAGATGGTTGCTTCACCATTATGCTAAGTGCTAAGCTTGCTTTTCATATTTCATTGTTGTGACAGTGTGTTCTTTCTTCTCAAACTACAATGATTTTCTTGTCGCGTATCTCAACTTTTTAAGGCCAAGTGGTGTATTTTATAAATATTAGTGTCTAAGGGGTATTTTATATGGATGAATCACAAACTCTTAAGGGGGAAAAGGGAAATTCCTACATATCTGTGGATTGCCGGGGAATCTAAAACATCTACTAACATTACTTAGTTAAGCTAATTATATTATCCGGCTAATCGAACACCTGAACAAATAATTTTGGGGACCTAGATGAAAATTAAGTCTTAAATGCTTACAACGGTCCAATGCCTGTGCTTTAAAAATGGCAATACCGTACAATGCCTGAGCTTTAAAAATGGCAATACCGTAAAATAATGTTACTATTTTTAAATGCAGGTTTTTTATTTTGTTAATTTGTATATGTCAGTAATGCGAGTTTACTACTTTTTTAGGCCAACAATAGTTATCAATGACTTGAGATCACAACGTCTTACAACAAATGTTGTCTAAATAGCACCAATACGTGAGCACGATAAAATTTGTTTGTAGCATTTGTTTTATTACATATTTAAGACTGCATTTTATACCATCGTGGAAATTGTACATAGGCCTATGTTTATTTCTTAGTATCTCGAACAAATTAAAAACCACGAGCAATGCTCAGTTCCCCAGTACTAATAAATATGTATATTAAACAACAAAAATTGGAGTGTTCGAAAAATGTTAAAGAATTTCTAGATATTCAATATGGAATGGTTTATTTTCTTGAAATCGCAGCAACGCGTGACAGGTAAGCTCGAGTTTCCCATACATTGTTCAATAATTTCCAATTGCATACTAAACCACTTAAGATAAAGTTTTGTTTATATTATATTTGATGGGCCCTTTGGCAGAGTTTTCCCGCCATTCACCATCGCTTTCCAACCCTCTCCCGCCATAATGTCGTCAGTCAGGTATGCCGTTGTCAGGTCGAGATATTACTGTGATCTATCATCTCCAGGCACATATCATAAGTGGATAGGCATCTATCTGACAACTTTGACTTTAAATTTTTTTTAGTAAATATTTGTAAAAAATATTTGATTAAGGATAAACTTACCAAAAATGCAAAATAAAAGTAGAAAAATAGCGATTCGTTTTGATAACACAAATTTTTGTTTTTATTGTTGATGTTTAGATTAAATGCACTGTTTATATCAGAAAGATTGAAATTTTATAATTCTTCTCCAATTTTGAATGGTCAATAGTATTTAGAAAGTAACAATGATACATTTTGTACTTAACAAGCAATTTTGCTTATTTGATTCTTAGGGGGGTAGGGGCCTGATCTGAATATACTCGTATATACCATTTATTATTGGGCTATCAGTTAATTATTCACATCGCAAAATGTAGAAGTTACGTAGTGACAAGACCAGGTTTTGGCCGTTTCGTCACGATAAAGTGAAAATATCACGGTCACAAAACACGCAAAAATAACTTGAAAACATCAACACAACTTTCATAAAAAATACAAAATTCCATAACACAACAAACATTATCACACTGTATAAAAAATAATAAAATGTAGGTCATTCTTATAATACACTTTCCGCCTCATGTCATAATTTGTATCGCCGCAAATCGCGTTGAGTTTCAACATAATTTGTTACCCAGCCGTTGTAACCTGAGTCCGTTGTTTAATTACCAATTTGAATAATGCGAGGGCTGACGATGCAGAAAAACGTTCTTTCTAGTCGAAAGCTACAGCTGTTTACAACCACTTAATGAGATAATGAATATGTTTTCCAATATTAAAAGTGGACTTATTTAACCATACACTTGAGGCATGACACTTTTCATATTTTGTTACTTCTTAAACGAGGTATTGACATTGTTACTTAGTCCTTCTATAATATTTTATTTGGTTTCTGGCTGCACTTTAGTTTACGTCCTACACCCATTCGAATGAATATATCGATCAATTGTTTCATTCGATACATCAAGTTTGGTTAGTTAGGTTAACCAATCGAGCTCTATTACTACAACGGTTAACCAAACCTAACTAACCTAGTGAAATAATCGATGTATTGAATAACCTATACATCGATATTTTTCATTCGAATGAGTGTAGGACGTAAACTAAAGTGCAGCCTTGTTTTTCACTCTATATTGTACATGGAAGGACTAGTGTACTATACAATCCATAATAATTCATAATGTATCTAGTTGAATATAAATACAAAAAGTATATTTTATAAAAATAGCTTACCGAATCACCGATCAGTCCTGGCTCCTTCATTCCATTTCTCGTTTCGGAGCCACCACCTGCAAAATGGTGCTGTTACTTACAAAAATTTCAAATAAACTACCAAAAAACACACACACAACAGCTATATTATGTTGAAACAAAGGATTATGAAACTAAAATTTGAAGCAAATTACGTCGTCTGATGGCTTCTTTACGAGAACACTATGTAGACTCACTACAGTAAGTAAAAAATTCCTTAAAAATACCATTGGCAAAAATTAACAAACCAGCATCCTAACGATTCAAACAATTAACTCTCGAACATTTTAATCTTTTAACCTTTAAACTGAACAAATACAACCGTTCGCAATGCTGTTCATCGTGTTCTACTACAGAACAACTTTTCTAATTTAAATGTGCAGCTCGTCGGGAATTAAACATCACAAAACAACTGGAAAAGCAACCCAGAGGTAGTATTGAACATTGAACTGTTACTGCCGAAGTTCAATACAGTAATCAAGGACTACTTCGCGTATTGATGTGTCATTGGGAAAGAATTAGTCAAATCTCTATAATGTTTAGTGTTCTGAAGTATGGATTAGTTTCAGATTATTTATCCAATGTTTAAGACGCCGACGCGCCAGGATCATTTCAAGGCGAAGATAAGTCCACCTGAGCGTCGAATGAATATGATGGTAATCGTAATTGTTTGTTTTATGTCTTTGGCTAAGATTAGCTATCTATTCGTCATTAAAAATGTACCAAATGAACTCTTGAGAAAACTTCAAGTCACGCCATATATTTAAATCTTGAACCATATATTTAAAATGTTTACTTGATGTGAAATCTTTGCTGATGATTTTCAGGCTTTTTCAGGAGAAGAACTTTCCATTTGCCTAATCTTAAAAATAAATAAGCTGTGTTGATTTATTTTTCCTGTGTTTTTTTATTTCAGCTAACTACCTGTAAATTATTTTGACCAAGTACCCTAAAAACATTTTATTTATTTATTTTATATACCAACGGACATCTCCAATTTTGTAGACTAGACATAACAATATTTCTCTTAAGTGACTGTAGAATTTAAATACATTTTTGTAAAACATTTCAACCCAGCAATAAATATGTACACATATAACAATAACAATCACAACAAAACACAACAACCACAACAATCATAACAATAACATTGACTATTGGATACTGAAGTAGACATTCCATCTACATATATGGACCAGGTGTACCAATTTGTTTTACTAAATTATATTTTCTATTTTAATATTCATTACTAACATAGTTTATCGGTCATATCAGTTATATACACAATCGCTCTAGTTGATCTATCAGTTTGGCTTGGTGAAAAAGTGGTATATTCGACAGAAATCAGTAATTTAGACCAGCAAAATATTTCGATGGCTCACATCAACTACAACCATTTTGATTAACAAAACTGGTGGCAAAGTTCATAGAGATTTAATGTGTCAAGAATTGTATAAGTGCATTGTGTTGGAAAATCACCATCTAAAAAAACAGGCTCACTGTTTGATTGTTACAAGTCCAGACAGAAAATTCAAATTTAGAGCCATTAATAGATTTTTAACATTTTCAGAATTGAACCAGTAATCTTCTTACCACGCAAGCACTATATCTACTCTAGCTCAAGATATTGGAATTTATTTCCGTCATCCTCTCGTGTAAAGTAAACATCTGAGCTAGGCGTCTGCTCCATACGATTGTTACACCAGCTGTGCATGTAGTACACAAACTGTACAACAATGGCGTATGTAGGCTACAATGGCAGGAATAGCTCGGTAAACTGTGCAATTGTCTTGGTTGACCCAGTTATAGCTGGTATCTCGTATCCCTCAAGACAGATCCGTTCTCAACAAAAATGGCTTGTTCCATGAGAGTTGTTCAACATTAATATTGGACTGTAAGTCGACGTTGAGCCATATTACACAAAAACTATCCTGCTTTCGTTATTTTGTTATTATTTGTTTTGGTTAGGTTTCATTTACATCTAAAATGTGTTTATATAATTGATCTAAACATTTACAAAAAGGAAATTTTGAAATTCGTCGTGAACTCAGTGAATGTTTTAAAAGTTTATGAAAATAAGTAATAAACTCAAACTTAAATCAAATTGATCATAATACAATGTGCACACAAGCAATGGTATAAAAATAAAATAATTATTACTCATTTTTACCTTTAAATTTTAAAAAATCTGTGGATTTCTAGTGTAACCAGACAAGGATAGGCAAGAGGTTATATCATACATACTTCCTTATTACATTTCTCATTTAATGGAACAGCTGAAACCAATTTTATTGTTAGTTGTGTCCGGGACACTGCAGAGGTCGCGTTTTGTTTACAATTTGTTTCTTTTTATTTCAGGCACTTAAAACCTTGTTTAAACGATCTGATCATAAACAATAACTAGTCCATTAGTTATATAACCAAACAATAGAGCACAGACCATGAAATTTACCCTTCGATAATAGAAACTGAATTTCGTCGACACTAGCGGTCAGTGTCACCGCACATGAACTAGGCAAGGAAACGAGCTTCAAAATGTATAATGGGATGAGAAGGCTACTTGTGTTGCTTAGTCTATGGTTATAGTCAAGAGGTATGGAGTAAAAAGTAAATACACTTCATACTACATAAATCTTGGGTTATAGTGCTCGCCTAAATGCAATAAGGATTTTTGTTCCCTCCTGTTGAATGATGCTAAATGTAAGATAGCTTGACTACATTTAACCAAAAACAGAGCATGGATAGTTTTTCTACAGTCACGGCTAGATGACAGTTGAACCAAACCAAGAAATAATAAATAACGATACAAAACCAAGATTTGGACCGTCCTCTAACAAAATCCGTAAAAAACGCCAATAGTGTAACATAAAGCCGAAATTTAAGTTCAGCAGTCTTCGCCACGAAGCCATGTGAAAACTCAAGAGTAAGCAAACAGATTTAAATTCCAAGGCCCTCTAGCAAACAAAGGTGCTAACCAGCATGACCGCTAGAAGCCCAAACTACGCACAATAGTGAGGCACGTGGGACGAACATGTCACCTGATATTCGGTCAAGGTGTCAGCTTCGGCTTTACTCGGTTCCGCTCGGCAAAGTTCGGCTCAGGTTACCACATGGTGGGTGCACACCTAATCTCCTTGACAGGTGTTAAAATGCTTTAGGCAAATCGTGTAGTTGCGATGAAACACTATTAGATGATTGTTTCACTATTCCGTTCACAGAATCCTACCATTTTAAAACATAGCTCAACAGCTGAGATTTGTCATAACGTCAAACAGCTGTTACATTCATTTTACAAAAGTGGTGGGAGGACTTCCCCTCAAACCACCCAAATATTGTGAACGAACTAGTTTTGTTTTGGGCCACAAAAAACTATGTGCATGATGTTCTGTATTACAAATTAATCTGTGCAAGTTATTTTTATTTTTTTGCTCATCACCTAAACTTGTTGTATGTTTTGTACATTATGCCTTTATTGCTGTTATCTTTTTTTGCGTGTTGTTTCTTGTTGGTTGTTGTTTCACATTACTTTATTTCTGTTTTTCAGCATCTAAGTTCCAGTTATCTTGTTAATATTTTACTCTCTGTTTTTCAATATCCAAGTTCCTGTTATGTTGTTAATGTTTTATTCCCTGTTTCAATGTCAGAATAGTTCCTGTTATCTTGTTAAAATTTTACTTTTGTTATTGGCAATTAAGAATTATTTCTTGTTGTTTTGGTTGATTCTTATGATGTTTTCTCGTATATGCTACCTTACAATTACTTTTACTATTGTTTGCTTACTAATGTATTGAATTGTATTAATGTATTGTTTGTAAAATGGTGTTTGTCGTTGAGAATAAATAAATAAATAGTTTTACTAAAGGACGCTACAAAGTATGCTTTATTTTCACGTTACACTGTATCTCTGTGAATCTAAAATAGTAGGTTTTTTCCAACGAAGTAGCAGTGGAAAGAACTTAGTGTTGAACAAATGTGTTTTGGTTAGCAGTAATTACGTTAGTTAGAAAGTAGACTAACTAGTTGTTTCTAAAACTATTATGTATTATGTATTTGTGTAATGTGAACGTATAATGCTGTTGTTACTGTTGATTAGGTACTGGCAACTAACTAATTAAAAGTCGCTTCCTGATACACTAGGCATTGCTTGTATTTACGAAATTCAATGCCGTAAGTTTGGTAAATAAAAACATTAAATTCATACAGTAGGTAAAACCTTTTATATTCTGCAATTTTCCATTACTCAATGCTGAATCTGGCAAAAACTACGGATAATCTAATTTTATTTTTTTACAATTGTTTCCCATAATTGCTTATACATGTTGACATGACCTAATCGAAATCAAGGCAAAACTTTATAAATAGCTCAACATAATATACGAGAAGCAATGCTATTTCACGCCAAATACCAATTAATGACAACAGAATATTGTAATTACCTAGGTAATTGCTAAATGTTCAAACCCTCGCATTGAAATAATTCTTAAGTAATTAAACTGCAATGTGTGAAATCGTAAACACTTTACGACGTTCAGGTCGTAAATTTAACCTTGCCACTCTGGATAGGGATTATCTATTTAATCGGCGGGCAATTCAAAGGGAGAATTTTAATCGGACAAAGCAAGAGTTTTTGTTCGACTGGCATCCAGACGCGATGTCAGCCAATTCTAAATCGGCGAGAAACAAAGTCGAACAATAGTTGTACAATAGTCTGGATCAAACTCAGATTTACGAACACCAATAGGAATATATTGGATGCACAATACTTTATAGTGTACATGTGTAATCATTGATTTTAACTATAAGCATAAGCAGTGCAAATGGGGGGTTTCCAAAGGAATCTGACAAATGAAAGTGAGAATGAGAGTGAAAGTTTTTCTAAGAACGTCACATAATATGAGCAGACAAAAACACTTGGAAAATAGCCAACAAACACAAGTTTTCCTTTCAAGCATTCGGATTTGGCGTTTCCATAGGAAACTTGACACGAAAGTTTTCCCTAGAAAGATCTAACGAGCACAAATTAGGCTACGTCATATCC